CATTAATTCTCATTTGTCAATTTAAGTGTACAAGTTCAAAAATAAGTTTACATAAGTTCATTCTCATAACATTCACTATTAATCATTACCACACATAACTAGAGATACATACATAACATTTGTATACATAACAGACACACACACACACACACACACACACACACACACACACACACATTTAAATGTCAAATGTTTTAAGAAGTATTGGTCACCCACCATCCATCGTATTTTGTAAAAACAAATTATTAAAATTAAATTACCTTAGCCTTTGTCGCTTTGCACTGGAAAAACTTGCCTTATCACGCATTTCTCTTTCTTCACGAGACATCTCACTGAAGTTTGTGGTCATGTTAAAAATAGGACGAGCCCAGTTAGCTGTACAAAGCATTTAGAAATATTTTATATGAGAAACATTTCCTAAAACTTCAAATGCTAAGAAAAATTATAATTTTGTCATGATTCATACTTATTATTTTTCCTGCTAACTTTTTGTTTTCGGGAATTTCTTTCGGATGTTTAAAAAGCAACATTACAGCACGGCCAATGCCACTTGATTTTAGAGCACCTTTATCCAAAGGAGGAAACTAATAATGATAAAAAAGTACTTTACATACAATTTATGTATATATAATACATAATATATAATATAAAAATCTTCACTTGGTAAGTTAAGGTTTAAAAATGTCACCTTTTAATGAAGTTTTTTCTGTTTAAACAATAATGTGAACTGTTGATGTATATAAACTGATATAGCCATAGATTTTGGTTTCAACAGACGCTCATTTAGTTAAAGGAACAAACTTTCTACACTTTTTAATTTTGTTCTGGTCTTTCTTTCTAATGCTTAATTCAAAGCAACATTTTACACTAATATAATTTTGGCTATATAACTTTTATTGACTATATAATTTTTAACACTAATATAATTTTGGCTAATTAATTTGATTTGTGAACCAAGGATTTGTAAAAATACTTATTGAAAGATTAAAAACAATAAGTTTTACTAACATAATTATCATGCTTTTTAGCTTTAATTGATTTACATTTTTTTCGAAGGACACAGGCTTCATAAAGTTTTTATTCAAAACTATAATAAAGTAATACAACTGTATACTATAACTGCATGCTTAATATAAAGTCTTTAATAAATGCACATAACAACAAGATTTTACAACGCAATGAAATAATAAAATCAAAACAATTCAAATGCATAGACAAAAAAATTAGTACATTAAATAACCAACGCCTTTCAAACAATATCATATACCGAGCCACTTATTTTTTCAAAAAAAACTTCTACCTTCCTTATTTAACAATAAATCCCCTCACCGGGGACTAAAATCTTTGATGTCTACTTATTTTGTTTTGTTTTTGTAAAAATTATATGATTTTTGGTTCTACTGTATTTTTAACTTTAACTTTTTAAACAGCTTTTACGTTATGAATTATACACTATGGCTGAAAGATTGCCAAAAGGCATGAAACTCAGAGTTCTATTAAAAGTTTTTTTTTTTCATTATATATATATATATATATATATATATATATATATATATATATATATATATATATATAAATTTAAATATATATATATATATATATATATATATATATATATATATATATATATATATATATATATATATATATATATATAAATATATGAGGGTGTGATATCTACCCCTGTATTCTATAAAAGATCTGTTCATATTCTTAAAACTTTCTATTGGTTCTTACAAACAACTTTATTAAATTTTTTTAAATTTTTATTGGGTTTTGGGAGAGCACCAGACCCTTGAACACTTACCAGGTCCCTAATATTATGTAAAAAAAAGTTTTTCAAAAGTATGTCATGTTGGGTCTCAAAAGAAGCGAAATTATATAAAAATTTTAAAAATAATCATTTTATAAAAAAAAAATTATTTCAGAGTTTTTTAGGGTGTGACACCCGCCGTTAATATATAACAAAACCTAAAAATAACAAAAGTATTTTTTTTTAATATTTAAAAAAAATTTTTATAATTTTTTTATAAAATGATTGTTACTTTACAATTTTTTATATAATTTCGCTTCTTTTGAGACCCAACACAACATACTTTTGAAAAACGTTTTTTTTGTATATTATTAAGGAATATTATATATTATTAAGGAATAATATTTATATATTAGTAAGTGTTGAAGGGTCTGGTGCTCCCCATAAATCCAATAAAAAAAATGGAAAAAATTTAATAAATTTGCTTATGAGAACCAATAGAAGATTTTAAGAATATGAACATATCTTTTTTAGAATATAGGGGGCACACCCTAATATATATACACACAAGATTTATGATTTAAAAAACCACTTTTGGAAAAACTCAAAAGAAATTAAATTAAAAAAAATTTGAATAAAATACTTACTTCACTAAGCACTTTTAAAAATGTTTTTCTTATGTTTATATGCGGAAGAGCATGGTCAGGTAATGGACTTAACCATTCCTAAATAAAATATGATTTTGAAAAATATAAATATAAGAATACTCATATCCTTCAAAATAATTCAATAATTTAAAAAATCTTTATTAAACATGAATTGAAAATGAGGTAAAGAATTGCAATACAATAAAAGTGCAATAGGAGTGCACACAATAGAAAATAAGTACAAGACTGGAATTAAGTGATGGCCAATGGCGATATCTGTAAATATTTCTAGTATTCAAATTTTAAGTTTTTTAAATATCAGTTATATATAAAGTTACTATATACAAAATATACAAAATAACAAAACTCTGTTTTTAACTTATCTCAATAGTTGTAATTCAATAAATAAATTTATGTTGATCTTGAAATTGTAATCTAATTCTAATTATTTTTATAACTTTTATTATTATTAAAAATTATGATTTAAACTTTAATATTTTAATTCATTTGGTAAAAGCGGTAAGTAATAAACAGTGTTAAGTAAAATAAATTAGTAAGAAAATAAATGTTTAACAAAAAAAATTGGGAGTGGTGTAGTTTTAGAGAGCTTGCCTCAAGAAATTCCGAATTCAATCCCCACCATGCCCCTAGTTGTACCAAGCGATGTGGTCCAAGCTGTGAGGACCAGATATTTTTTCAGATTTTAAAATTCCTGATTACTTAATTCGAGCCTTATATAATAAAAAAAAAATATTAATAAACAATTAACAACAAACAAAACGAGAATTTTTTTATAAAACTATAATACAAACTTTATAAATATTTTACTTTCATTGCAGGTAACACTCCACAATCTATCAATGATTGTTGGAGATCTGCCCTACAAAAAAAAAAAATAAAAAAATATGATGAAATAATTTATATATATATATATATATATATATATATATATATATATATATATATATATATATATATATATATGCCTCAGCAGGAATGACGGGCATTCTGACTCTTTGCTTGACCAAGTATTTATTATTTAGTTGCAACAACTTGACCACAGCTTTTTAGACTTTTGATAACGTTATCAAACATTTGAAAAACCTTGGTCAAGTTGTTGCAACTAAATACTGAATGTTTGGTCACGCATAGAGTCAGAATGCATGACAAAGTCTGTGTGTGTGTGTATATATATATACATATATATATATATATATATATATATATATATATATATATATATATATATATATATATATATATATATATATATATATATATATATATACATATATATATATACATATATATATATATATATATATATATATATATATATATATATATATATATATATATATATATATATATATATATATACACATATATACATATAGCTCTCGGAATTAGAAAAAGTTAGGTCAGCAATTTATTGCTGATTTTAAATTGTTACAGGTTGGCATCAGATCAGCAAAAAAAGTTTGACACAAAGGTTTTACCATAAAACATGGAAACAGAGTCAACCACTTTTTGCACACATCAAACACTTTAAGGCCAGCAGTTAAATTGGTATTTCCAAATGCCGACCCTAATTCTGAGAGTTTTGTGTGTGTATATATATATATATATATATATATATATATATATATATATATATATATATATATATATATATATATAAGAAAATGTAATAAAAATAGTTTTTAAAATTATAAACTTCATTAAATGCAATGAAATAAATAACTTTAAAGATTCATTTTTAACATTTATTTAAAGATAATTTTTTTTATAAATTTATCTCAACAAGGCCAAAAAAAATGAAAAATTATAAATATTTCTTTAATTTTTTTTTCACTTCTCAACTCAATAACAAAAATCTATGCCGGTAAAAGTATTTTTTAGAGAAAACTTATTTACTGCTGTATTAAGATGTGCCACACTATCTAATTTATGGTAAATACGATATATGGGAAAAATATGTAAGTGTAACTGTTTTAAACATAAAACAAAAATATATATATATATATATATATGTTATGCTACAGGGAACTTTGAAAAAGAAGTGTTTGAAATGAAAAAAAAACAAAAAACTCTAACAATATACCTAATGAATAATATTTACTTTAAGTTAATTGATAAATGAATCAACTATTTATTTGTGTACCCTATAGCAACGCATATGGATGTTATCCTACTGAAAGTATGGTGGATGGTTGGAATTAAGTCAATCTGGTTGCCAACAGAAAGGCAAGATAAAATGATAATGATAGATTTTTGGTTAAACTTGACAAAATGCCAGCTAAAATAGGGATTATCAGTACACATCAAATTAGATTTGATAATTAAAGAGAAAAAATAACTGCTTGAAATTTGAGAAAAAAGTTATATAACATATTTTTTTATAAAAAATTCTTTTAACTAGTTTGCAATTAATAAAATTATATAAAATATTTAAAAAAGAAATATAAAAAAGAATATATAAAAATATATAAAATTTTAATAAGTTTTTAATAAGTTAATTAACAAAAATTAATAAAACTACAAAAGTAATTTATGCTATAAATATATACTTATATTAATTATATTTACTTATACATGTTTATAACTAATTCAACTTAAGATCTTTAAAAAAAATAACTTTTTGTTATTTATTTTAATTAAAGATCTAAATATAAAAAGTTATTTGTTTTAATTGTTTTAACTTGAAACATAAAACATATTTTATTTCCTTACTCCAGATTCTTTATCTCTACACATTTTTTTTATTTTGAGATAACTGATTAGAAAATTCATTAGATATCTTGAAAGTTTCCAATATGACTTTAGCCAACATAAGACTTAAATTTGACTTTAGCCAACGTAAGACTTAAATTTTCTCAATTTTTTAATTTTTATTCTTTAATTTTGTATTCTTTTTTCATATTATTTTATGTGTTCTGAAAGTTTAAAACACAGCACACTGTTATAGATTTAAAAAAAAAAATTAAAAATTTAATTCAGATTTTGAAAATTTTTCATCATATTAACCTTTTCTTTGAAAACTAAAAAAATTTAAATAATATAAATTTATAAATTTATTTAAACTTATAAATTTATTAAAAAATGGTTTTTTAAATTGTCTAAAATTTAAAAATAATATTTTGCAACATTCAAAACTATACTTTCTCAAATGATCTAGTACAATGGGCAACATTTTCATCTTATTTGTAGCTGCTTTAGAAGATTGGTTTAACATTCGATCAGTCTAAAAAAGATTTTTAATCAAGTTATTGTGTAATAATAGGATTTAGAAACTTTTAAAACAAAAAAATGAAAATAAAAAAACAGACCTCAGCAGCTTCCTTCATTTTCTTTATCATTGAGTCTATGATATCATCATTGTCATTAATAACTTCAAAGTCCTTATTTAAAAAAAATTGTATTTGTCAAAGTAACATTTATATAAATATAGTATAAATATTTATATATAAATACAGTATAAATATTTATATATAAATACAGTATAATTATTTATAGCATATATATATATATATATATATATATATATATATATATATATATATATATATATATATATATATATATATATATATATATATATATATATATATACAATATAAATAATTTTAAAGATTACACCTATGCACCTATGTTTATGTGGTTAACACAACATATTTACCAATTATGTTTTATCAATTAAAACATTTTATCAACTTTTTCAAAAAGTTTATTAACTTACTTTTTTAGATCTTCTTTTCATTTTGTTCATCTGAAAAAAAAAAAAAAAAAAAAAAAACTATGATACATTATTTTTAAATGTGATACATTAGCTTTTTCTATATGTATGTATGTATGTATGTATGTATGTATGTATGTATGTATGTATGTATGTATGTATGTATGTATGTATGTATGTATGTATGTATGTATGTATGTATGTATTTATGATGAAGAATGTAAAACTTTCAAACCAAGTCCTGATATATTGAAACCTTTAACAAAAATCTTCAGCGTAAGCAAGTAAAGCTGCCTCATAGCCAACAAAACAATTAGTCAACTGAAACATGATTTTATCATTCATATTGTTGACCTTAGAAACAAATTATATACTTGCTACATATATCCACATTTTTAATTTGCAGTGCAAGCATGGAATTCTTACCTCATTCAATCAAATACCACATTGAATAAAAAGTTTTATTAAGAACTTAGATGAAGATATGATTCAGCAAATAACATGAAGATATGATTCAGCAAAATAAATAGAAAAAAAAATGTTGCAGAACACTGTGATCTGTAAAAAAGCTCTTTGACAATGTAGTCTCTAGACCTCCAGAAATCCACAACAAATAAAACAACTGTGTATAGTCTCTGAGCAATGACTGAAAGGGAAACCTATACACATGGAACCAGTGTACCAACCCATGGCGACTCAGGTTGTGTTATATGAAATCTCACAACTATTACTAGCATCACAAAGGCTTGTGATGTTTGTAATAGTGTTAAGCTACTACTACTACTACTACTACTACTACTACTACTACTACTACTACTACTACTACTACTACTACTACTACTACTACTACTACTACTACTACTACTACTACTACTACTACTACTACTACTTTTTATAATTTTTCTATGAGTGATGAGTGAAAAAGCTTAAAAAACAAATATATTACAAAAATATATACCTCAACTTGCATGTATTAAAAATGTTTTGAATATCTGGAAAAACTAATAGTTGAAAAAAATATCCAGAATTCGGAAATATCTGAAAAAAGATAATTTTTGTACTACTACTACTACTACTACAACAACTACTACAACTACAACAAATACTACTACTACTACTACTATTATAAGCAAATGTTTAAGGAACAATCAAATTTTGAACCCAACATCCTTATGCATAATGGTGGCAACATCTCAACGATTTGAAATATTTTCATAATTTTTTTCTGATTGCAGATCAACATTTTTAGAGCTCCTGAGAACCAGAGACCAGGAAAAAATAGAAATTTAAAACCTGAATCCTATTAGGACTCCTCATCCCTGCATATATGTATATATATAATCATTTTAGATATGATTAAAATGGAATAATACTATTTTTAAATTGAAGATTTAGATTCGAGCATCTAATTAAAATGAATCATGGAATTGTTTTAAAATCATGTTAATCATACTAATTTGAAAGTTAGCTTGGAAACGAGTAACCAAATCTTGTACAAATTAATAAACTAAAATATTAAAATGTAAATTATGTTGATATATTATCTATTTAATTTTATTGGATAAAAATTAGTTCAAACTTTTTAAAATAATTTTATTGCAGCAAAAGGGTTATTACTATATGTATATATATATATATACATATATATATATATATATATATATATATATATATATATATATATATATATATATACATATATATATATATACATATATATACATATATATACATATATATACATATATATAATCTATATATATATATATATACATATATATAATATATATATATATAATATATATATGTATATATATATATATATATATATATATATATATATATATATATATATATATATATATACATATATATAATATATATATATATATATAATATATATATATATATATATATATATATATATATATATATATATATATATATATATATATATATATATATATATATATATATATATATATATATATATATATATATATATATATATATATATATATATATATATATATATATATATATATATATATATATAGGCCTCGGCAAGAGGAAATGAGTGCAAAAGCAAAGAAAAGCTTTTCTAAAACAAGCATAGCAAGCCATGCAAGCTGCTCCTCTAAATAGTTTTTTACGAGCTTTTGGTTTTTGCACAAGCTATTAGTTCTTAAAAATTACTTATTAAATACAAAACTTGGTTTTATACTGGTTATGAGGTTTATGATAAATGTTGATGATACAAGAATTTATAAGAAGTGTCATTAATTGCATTGTGAAAAATTAATTTTCTTTAATTATAATCTTGACTAATGCTTTAAATAGTAAGCTTTTTATTTATACACATCTAAAAAATTTATATCTAAAAAATTAAAACTGTATCAACTCATAAATATACAATTTAAGTATACAGAGATAAGTATAATGACGTATAGTTTTAAAACAAAGTACAGTAGTGAAGATATTGTATTAAAACAAAAACTCATTTAAAAAAACGTCGAGGTCATAGTGTAGCTATTTTTATTACTGATGTATTTATCTCTCATGAAGTTAATTGTTCTATAAAACTTTTCTCAAACAAGTTTTGGCATCTGTAAAAGTTAACAATAAACATATACTTATCTAGGTTACACATTGACAAAATGTTTATATACATTGACAAAATGATCAATTATGAGGTTATAAATATGAGCAATTTAATATAATATATTGCTGAATCCTTCAAATTAGCTCATAGCCTAATTAGGAAACCCTGTGATGGCTGCTTCATTGTTGGTAATTTTACATATCACAATCTATGGTTACTTCAACCATATGTTGGACTTATGTAGATCATTTATCTACAGAAGTAATTCTATTTTAAAAATTGTTTCCTAATGCTATATTAAGTAATAATACCTAGGACAGCTTTGTATCACTTGAGGAATTTTAGCTTCAAAACTGTTACCCGAAAGTGAATCTCAGTTGTTTAGTTATAGGAAAGGTGATTACGATTCAATATCAAACTTTATTAGCATCAATCAATTGGAATATTTTGTTTCTGCGTAAAACCGCAGATCAAATGTTTAATTTATTAATTTCTAACAATTGTACTGATTGTGAATATTTTATCCTTAAGGTTAATAAAACAAACAAAAAATTTCTGGTTGGTATATCAACTGCTCAACTAAATGGAAGAATAATAAACTTAAAATAAACTGGTATCTTCTTAATCGTTCCGATAGAGCTGAAATATTTAAAGCAAAAAGATCACATAAAAAAGAAATAATATTAAAATCCCTCTAAATAATTTCCATCGTTAAAAAAATGATACTAACTGGAATGAACATATAAGGGCAACTTAGTTTGTTTTTTTTCCAGACATTATTAACTTACCAAACTAAACCCCTATGAATATTTTTTCCATTTACAAAAATCTTTCATAAATTCTTTAATTCTGGAACTCTACTCACTTTCTAAAAATTAGCAAATTTTAGTTTGGTCTATAAAAAAACAAAAGATAAATTACTTGCTGAAAAATATCTTTTCACTAAACTCTGTTACTTGCAAAATAGTCAAAATACCTGTTAAGAACAAAATTTTTAAGCAAACATTAACGATAATAAAATGCCATGTTGATAAAATCAACACGGCTTTCTTTACCTATAATTATGCGTGACTAATCTACTAGAAACTTTTGATATTATTTTGTCTTCTAAAGTACTTCACCAAATTATTTCTGTAATCAAAGTGTTGATTTACTACCTTAAAACAGACTTATGTTAAAATTAAGATAATTTGAAATTAATTGGAAACTATATAAAATAATTTAATTAATTAATCCCTGAAAAGCTCTAATAAAATGCAAAATATAGAAGTCATTATTTCATATAATGCCAAGTGTAGCGCAACAAAATGGGCTTTCAGCTTAAAACATCTTTAATACTGCAAAAGGCTAAGAAGATTGAATCTACCATCATTGGCTAAGTGTTTTGGTTGAGGCAGGGATAAGCTTAGGGTTAAGAGAAATTTTCCGCGCTTTTCTCCTGCATTTTACACATTAAAAATTTCCACATTATTGTATTTTACCCATGTCCACAATAACATATTATGATATAGGTGCTCATTTAAAAATATAACACTTATGTATATTTGACATTACCCATTAGCATTGCAACTGCAAAAAGGTCCTTAAGCACATTAAAACACATTTAAGGACACAAATTGCACAAATTATTTTGTCTGCACTAGAGTTTTTAACTACTGAAATAGAAGTTCAAATAAATTTAAAAGGTGTTATAGACCAATTTACAGCTATAAAGACAAGAAAAAACTTTTATTAGGTTTTCTACTTACTAGACTTGCATAATGTAACATTCTGATTTCTATTTAATTAAATCAAAATTGAAAGGGAGGGGCGAGGAAGTAGAGAAATAATTCAGGGGCCTGGATTAAAAATCTTCAGAGAGGCCTACTTTTTGTCGCTACGCTACTACTGCATATATATATATATATATATATATATATATATATATATATATATATATATATATATATATACATACATATACATACATATACATATACATATATATATATATATATATATATATATATATATATATATATATATATATATATATATATATATATATATATATATATATATATATATATATATAAAGTTAAAATAGTTACTCTGTATTATTCATAAATTTTTTATATCATATATATATATATATATATATATATATATATATATATATATATATATATATATATATATATATATATATATATATATATATATATATATATAAATTTATGGTGAATACAGAGTAACTATTTTAACTTTGATTAGTAAAAAGTAAAATATAATAAAATAAAACTTGACATGAAAGAAATATTACCTCTTTTTTTTTTTGAAGCATAAGATCGAAATCAGAAACAAAACTAAATTAAAAATCAAAATTACTTTACACATTTTATAGTAAACAATACTTATTAATACTTGCTTGTTCACCAATATTAGTTAACAATCAATAAACTTGTACCTTGTGTTTTACTAATACTGATAATATACATTTATTGTTGGCACCTAGTGTGATATACCTTTTCTATAATATTTTACTGGTACATAGTGTGATAATATACCATTATAACTGGTACTTAGTGTGATACTAAGTAGTGTGATACTTAGTGTGATACTAATAATACTATTATTATCAAAGTGATAACAACTGTACAACATAAACAACACAACACAAAACTTTAATAATAATCATTGATTATGCTTAGAACATTATCACAATTATTTATGCAATCTTCAATTAATTAAATTTATATGTTTGCAAATAATTATAGTCATACTTTTAATTGAATAATAAAAGCAAATATTCAAATATTTTCTACAATAAATATTTTAGTCCTTTAAATAAATTTCTTTTTATTTTGTTGCAATATTATTTAAAAATCTGAAAATGATATCTGCATATCTAGCACTTTAACCCTGGGGCAAATTGGGCAGGATTTAAGCAATTTGCTTTTGAACAATTGCCTTAAATACTAGCTATAAATACTTAAAACTAAATTTTTTAATATCGAGATTTTCTTCTTTATCCTATTATCTTTATAAGCAGTGGCAAGCTGGCCCCAGAAGCTATGCCGGAATCCTGCATATGCCTATCGCTATTTATCTTAGAAGGGCCTATTTTTTGAATTTTTATACCCTACTGCATTTTGAAAATGATTCACCTATGATATTTATTTGCTTTATTTTTTATTCCACGTTAAATTCTTTAACAAATCTCTGATTCAAACTGTTGGACTTCAAGCGCATATATATTAGTAATTTGCATAATAAAATGTAAACATTTGTAATTTTTGCCTCAAAACAAAGTCAATATTGGAAAAAATAATTGATTGTAACGTCACTTAAATTGCTTATTATATCAGCCATTTTATAGATAAAATTTTTTAAGTTGGCCAATGATTATTATGAGAAATAACTGAGTTCAATTTTAAATTATGGAAAAATATTCATATTGATAAAACTTTTGTTAAATTAAAACGATTAACTGTTTTTTCATAAACAAAAATCGTAACGTTTTAAAGTAATAATTTGTGTAAGTTTTTATAAAATTGTTGTTTTATTTTATGTTCTACAGATATTTAAAAAGTAGTTAGTAAAAAGTAATATTTTTTCTATATATACAAATAAAAAAATAAAGCATTATATTTCTATTTGAAAGTATTCCGAATTAATTCATTTCAGGGACGGCAAATATGTTGAAACTAATATTTAACATTATAAACTTTAGTAACTGCTTTTTTTTTCAAAAAACATAGTTGTAAAATCCATGCTTGTTATAATTATAGCTTCTTTTTTTTTTAAGATTTGACATATAATAGAAAATCTTAAAAATTGTATACATTCAATTTGAACTTCAAATTGATAAGACTGTAAGAACTTCTTGGGGCACATTAAAAAAAAAAAAAAAATTTGTGTATCGCTGTTTTTGTTACGTTAATAAATATTTCCTCTTGTACTAACGCTTGTACTTTATAAATAATTTTTCATCACTTCTCTACAGCTCAGGGTGTTCCATATAGTACACATTTTTATTCGTGAGCGAAGATTTACAAATATTTATAATCTATCAATCTTTAAATTAATAGTTATTAAATTAATTATATATATCTATAAATTTTAATAATACGACTGAATAATGGTACAGTTATTTACATTATTTTGTTTTCTTAGGAAACTCACTAGATAAAATGCCAATTCAAACAAAACCAATATATATATATATATATATATATATATATATATATATATATATATATATATATATATATATATATATATATATATATATATATATATATATATATATATATATATATATATATATATATATATATATATATATATATATATATATTATGCAGTCTTGGCGCAGTGATTACAGCGCTTGCTTTATAAGCAGGAGATTCATGTTCAAAACAAGCTCTGGACATTTTTTCGCGTCACGGTAAGGAAGGAGGCATGAACTTCCTGCTTAAATGCACTTCTGCCGTGCTCTGTGACAAGACTGTTAGGTCTTCTTGGGGCACCTAAAATAACAAAAAATTTAATATATATATATATATATATATATATATATATATATATATATATATATATATATATATATATATATATATATATATATAGGCCTCAGTGGGAAGCAAGACTTTTAGCCCTTGCCCACACTTCCCTGAAACAGTATAAGAGATCTATTTACGGCTCTCGCAAAAGGATAATTTTTCTTATAAAAGTATAAATATCATTTTAAATAAAATAAAAAACACAATGTTATTTATAAAAAATTAATTGCATAGTATACTGAATTATTTTTAAAAGCCACGATTGTTGCAAAAAAAAAAAGAGAATTAAAAAACAGCGCCAATTTAAATGACGAGAAGCTTGCACAGCTCCCCAAGTTTGTTTTAGGAAAGCTTTTCTCCGCTCTCAGATTTATTTCTGCTAAGGCCTGTATATATACTTAAACATATATACAAATGTGGGCTTTCAAATCAATCATATTTGGTAAAATGCATATATGGGCCTTTTTGAAAAAATCCCGCAAGTGGATTTTGGAGGCAGCACGCCCCTACTTATAAGGAAATTTTGCATGAAAATCAGAATAAAAGATACCAGGTCGAAATAAGTGCCAGACATTAGCATCTCCCTCTTCCCTAACTGTTTTTCCTAACTGTTTTTGAGACCCCTTAACAAACTATTGTTCATTTTTTCTGACAAAATGAGCAATAGTTAGTTTCTCTAGCAAGTGTTAAGAATGGTCCAAGAGGCAGCAATGTCACCTATTTCGACCCATGCAAAAGTGCATTACTCAAAGACATACTTTCTAACTGGAGGTTCTTCATCCTCACTACTTGCATCTCCATCGCCAGATTTTTTAATTTCATCTTGTTTTTTAGCTACAATAATAAAATTCCAATTGAAACTTGAACAAATTGAAATTTTTGTTTGTGGAGAAAACTTTTAGTAATAACTTAACTATTATTTATAAATAATAAAATATTTACTAAATATTTATAAATACTAAAAACTAAATAATAATACTTAACTTAATGCTTTTATATTATATAATTTAAAAATATTAGTAAAAATAATCAATGAAAAATAATTTATCAATCATCATTACCATTATTTTATTTGCTATAAAAAAATTTAATACAACAAAAAAAAACCTTTTTCCTTTTCTGGTAATATTTCATCATCATCAAAGCCCTAAAAAATACAAAATAATAACTTTAGTTTATATCTAAAAAAAATTTAAAGTCGCAAAATGATGTTTCTAGAGAAACTTGTTTTATTTTTGTTACAATTAAAAAACTTTCAGAAAGGAAGAAAAATTTAAAACATAAGTCAAAAAAGATTATTAAAACAAATTCAATAAAACTAATAAATACTTTATAAATGTAATAATTATTTTTAAAACCTCAAATTCTTCTTCATCGTCACTTTCACCGAAAATATCAGCAATAAGATTACCAGCATCCTCTCTCTCAACTTCTCTAATATAAAAATGAAATTAAAAATTAAAAAAAGAAACGAAAATGAGAGCAAAAGTATTTATTATAATATTATTAAACATTCCATAGACTAAAATAAATTTGTTTTTTTTTATTAACAAACGCTTATTGTCCGAAATGCCAATATTAAACAGGTTAGTAGATGCTCTTTTATGGTAGGGAACAACTCTGAAAAAACTTTCTTTCTCTTACACACATATACTCACTCACACAAATTGCGTTGATATATTGTGATGAAATAGAATATAAATTATTTCTGGAATATTTATACAAAATAAAAATTAAAATTAATTTAATTGTTAGACTTTTTTATAATTTGCTTGTTACTTTTAATTAATAATGTACAAAAGATGAGGTAAGTACGAAAAGTTAAGGACCAAACCTTTTCCTAAATCACAAAACCTTTCTCGAAACACAAAACAATTTTTTTTAAAGTTTTAAAGATTTCATTTTTTAATGCAAGTTAACAAAGGTACTTTTTTAAAGAAATACAAAAAATCTATATTTTATAAAAATATATAAATTAAACATTATAGGGCTATTATATATATTAAATATAGATTTTTTAATATATATATATATATATATATATATATATATATATATATATATATATATATATATATATAAAATAAATATTATATATATATATATATATATATATATATATATATATATATATATATATATATATATATATATATATATATATATATATATATATATATATATATATATATATATATAGAGAGAGAGAAAATAGAAAATTAGAGGATCAATATAGAAATTTTCAAAAAATGAAAAAAATATTGAAGCAAAAAACCATCAGTCATGTTGGTGGAAAACAAAACATGATTAAACATTATAATCAAGTAAAAACAAATATGACAACATATAATATATGTTACATATATATATATATATATATATATATATATATATATATATATATATATATATATATATATATATATATATATATATATATATATATATATATATATATATATATATATATATATATATATATATATATATATATATATATATATATGTATATATATATATATTATTATTATCGTATTTGTTTTCAATTTGTTTAAACAGATTAAACATATAATATGTATAATTTTTTTAAACAAATTGAAAATAAAAGAATACAATTTATGATGATTTAATACGAGATATGGTAAACAGGTCCTTCTTATCAAATCATTATAGTTTGCATCAAGTTTAGTCAACCACAAGATATACAGTGGTTCACTAATTTGCAGTGGAAAAAAAAAAGGTGACTATATTATAGTCTTTGTTTTTTCTTTAGGTAGATCATATGATGCAATGCAATGGTATTTTCTTATCGGCAGTCATTGGGCTGGTGTCTTTTATTTCCCCACTGATAAACACACCTTTTTTCCTGGATTTCAAGACAGGTATGGAGGTTTTTATTCCTTCTAGTTGGTTTTGAGTCATGCCTAATTCTACTCCATAGATTTCACATTAAAAAGCCTGTATTTATAATTATTATTTTTAATTATAATATTTAAAATTTATAAATTTTTCATCTTTTTTACAAAAGCATCTCTCTTGTAAACAAGCCTCATTTTATCAGTGCACAAAATTAATGTAAAAAGGTGCTGTCTGATGCTAAGCTCCAATATTCTCAGTTTTATTCATATAAAATAAATTTGAATTCATAAGGAACACATAAATGTACTTCTTACATAACCTTCTGGATCCAAGAAGGTATGAAAGCTTTTTTTCCACCTCTTTTGTTTTAAGTGATGCCTCATTTTATTATATGTTTTTTACCATCTTACCTTACGCAGTTGCTATGTTAAACTATAGCCATTCTTTTCATCTTTTTTTATAAGATCATCTCTATTGAGAACAACATATCTTTTTATTATTGCAAGAAATCAATGTAAAAAAATTCTGTCTGATGCTAAGCTCCTCAGTTTACTATATCTTGTATCTTATCTAAGATGTTAGGCTCTAGAGACTTTCAAAAAATGTTCAACAGTGTCATTAACAAAGAGTCTAATATTTTATATCTAGTTCATGAGAATAATCTTATTACTTCTCCCAAGAATAAGGCTAAACTATTGGGAAAGAACTTTTCTTCAAAATCAATATAAATGGCTATACTCTTCCTGACATTTCATTTGTAAATGTAGTTGGACCAGCTCTATCTGTCAAACTTGAGTTGAAAAGGTTGCGTCTCTTTCTTTTTTCTATAAAATACTATCATGGTTGTTGTTGAATAGAAAAAATCTCTAGTTCTATCAGCCAAAACTCAATCATTCATTCACTCCAAAAACATTTATTCATCTCTATTTTATCATGCACATTAATACTTTAGAACTCTCTCCCATCTACATGTTTTCTACTCACACTACATACAACTTTTCAAGTCTTCAGTCAACCATTCCTTTCTTCTCTGTCCAACTACTCCTTCTTCACACTTTTATTTTCTATTAACTCCCAATTTAATGGTATCTTTATTATTTAGTAACTCCCTACTTACTTGTACCCTTGTATAAAAAACTAGTTTTAAAAAAAAGTTGCTATCAAAATTACGAACCATGTTGTCGCCAATATTAAGAATCAAGTTATTATCAACATCCCAGTGGGGCTGTCTGTGAGACATCTTACATACATTTGAATGTCCATGAGACGTCTGACGAATGTTTGCTGGACGATGTGTGCCCACTGATATTAAAAATCAAACATAAGATTAAGGATCAAATTGCTCCTAACATTAGGAACCAAGTTTTTATTAATAATAAGAATCAAGTTGCTATCAACATTAAAAACCAAGTTAACTTGCACAAACATAATTAAAAAAGTTAGTAAAATTGTGCATTAATCTTGTTAAACTTCATTACTATTGAATTCATTATACTAAATGCTTTAACTGATGAATACTTTGAATAAATAAAGATTAAATACTAAAACAAAAAATAATATGTAAGTATCAAAACAGTTGACCATTTAAAAATTGTTTGAACTTAGTGACAAGTTTTTATATACATACACAGGGGTCAAATTTAGTGTCAGACATTAACGCTTCTCAGATAATTTTTAAGACCTGTCTAAGGGGAGCAAATAACTATTGTTCTTTTTTTTTTTAGACAAAATAAATAATGGTTAGTTGCCCTCTTTTATAAGATATCAATAATGACAATATCCAGCACCTACTTCGACCCCTGCATACACAACAGCAGAACATTTAACATGAATAACAACCAATACTACTTAGTAACAAGAAACTTGAAAAATGAAAAATTTTTAAGCACAAAAATATTTAAGAATATTTAAAAAAAAATTAAGTTTTTAGTAAAGTTTTATTTACACCACTTACTCCTCGTCTTTTTTTTTTAAATCTTCTTCACTATCCTCTTCTTCTTCTACTTCAGCATTGTCTAAAGAAGTTTCTGTAGACGGTTCAACAGTAGATGGCTTTTCTAAAAATATTTATTCAACCTTTTTTACACAGAGTTTCCCTAGCAACAGAAACGCGATAATAAATTTGATGATGATAATGATGATGATCACGATGATGATGACTTTTACTGTTGAACTTTTTCTAAGTAAAAAAAAAAAAATTAAAAATTTAAAAAATAATTTATACCTAATTTATACTCAGCCATGCTTGAAGAAGATTTATCATCGTCATTTTCATCCATATTACTATTCTTAGTTTCATCAGAACTATCTTTTTGTTTTATTTCTATTTCACTGTCTATTGGTGAAAAATTGTCATTGTTACTTTTAGTAACTAAAAACTCGTCAATTAATGTGTCCTCCTGAACATGCTCCTCCTCTTGGGTATCACCTTCAACATCGCTCAAAGGTGAAGGTACAGGTGCCTCAATATCATCAGTATTTTTATTGACTAATGAATTTATTGCTGTTGTTTTATTAGAAGAAAGCAAATGATAACCACTACTGTTAGAATTTTCCTCTTCAAAGTTTAATTCATTGTCACTTTCTTGAGAAGGACTAAATTTTCCATCTTCAGTCTCATCTTCATTTTGATTATTCTCTTCATCACTTATATTTTCAAAAGCATTGTCTGTCTTTTCAGTAAAGCCTAAATCTTCAAAGTCTCGATCACCCGGATCTGAAATTGGGCTAATTGGTTCAAATGTTTGATTTTTTTCAAATTCATCTTCTTTTTCATCCTCAATACCATCTTCTTTCTCATCTATATTAAAACTTTCATTGTCATTTGGAGGACTTATTGGTTCATACTCATCGCTATCATTAGAATTGTTCGAATTTTGCTCCTCACTTAGACACGATTTTATTTCTTTGTGAGCAATAAATGAATGACTAGATTGAATTGGTTCATTTGGTAAAGAAATGTTTTCATCAGAATCAATATCTGAAAAATTCAAATTATCATCATCGTCATCTAATGCTGCCATTTTGACCCTATTAAATTAAAATAGTTATATTTATAATATACAATATATATTCAAAATTGATTTCAATAGGAAATTGCAGTGCAGTGAAGTGTACATACATCAACTGACTATATATATATATATATATATGTTAAAATATGCAAGTAAGTATATATATAAAAAAAACTTTCTAGTCATTATTATTGCGGTTTTTTTTAAAAAACAATAAAATTTAATGTACTTCCTCATTAATTAAATTGCTTTGACATTTCGACGACAATAAAATGTAGCTTAAGAGACAAGGTAAAAAAATTGTAGTCAAAAGAGACTTATTTTACCATAAAAGTCTCTTTTGACTACACTATAAGGATATATATATATATATATATATATATATATATTTATATATATATATATATATATATATATATATATATATATATATATATATATATATATATATATATATATATATATATGTATATATATATATATATATATATATATATATATATATATATATATATATATATATATATATATATATATATATATATATATATATATATATATATATATATATATATATATATATATATATATACTCTTGCATGGTAGTCACAAATTTTTTCCCATTAACTGTAACTTTAAAGAGCGCGTTAATAAGCCTGACCAGAAAATGTTAAAAAACTCCAAAAAAATTATTTTTTTTAAATGATAGACTGCCTGCCCAATGAGACGAGTCAAATAAAAGTAAACTATACTTATGCGAGTCAGGCTATTTGTCAGTCGATGTAGCAGCACTCCCTTGCGAGTCAGGCTATTTGTCAGTCGATGTAGCAGCACTCCCTTGTGAGTCAGGCTATTTGTCAGTCGATGTAGCAGCACTCCGTTGCAAGTCAGGCTATAAGATAGTCGATGTAGCAACACTTACGCATGTTTTAAAAATGTTTTTTAATAAAACAAAAACAAAAACACCACTAATTAAAAAAAAACTTTCTAGTCATTAATATTGCAGTTTTTTTAAAAAACAATAAAATTTAATGTACTTCCGCATTAAGAGCCGAGGTAAATAAAATTGTAGTCGAAAGAGACTTTTTTTTACCATAAAAGTCTCTTTCGACTACACTATAAGGATATATATATATATATATATATATATATATATATATATATATATATATAAGTATGGTCACTTTTTTATATATATATATATATAAATATATATATATATATATATATATATATATATAAGTATGGTCACTTTTATATATATATATATATATATATATATATATATATATATATATATATATATATATATATATATATATATACTATATAGTGACCAGGGCCCCGACTAAAAATGAAACTTTTTGCAAATACGGCCCCAGCAAAATTATAAGATTTAGCAAAGGTTGATAGCCAGGGCTATAAATAAATTTATAATTCTTTGTATATTATAATTATATACTTACATTTACTATTTATTAAATTCTAGAATATATTTATGCCAGTATTAAATAATTAGGGACAGATATAGCGAAAAGATACAACTTGTTGAATAAGAAGCCAAGCAAGAATAAGTTTTAGTTTATTGTAATAGAGATGATAGCTCGTTTGAGCATTGACCATGATTATGGAAACAGTATAAAAGAGAAAAGAGGATAGCTAAATCCTGCTGCTGCTGATGATGATGACAATGATGACAATGGCAATGATAATGATGATCATAATGATGATTATAAATGCCTATATACACAAAATCAAACAAAAATTTTGAAAAAACAAAACGTACTTTAGGATGTATAAATGTTTATACAGCACCAGTCACAAACCCAGCCCTGGCCCCAAATATATTTTATCAAACCAAGCCCTGGTCATTTACTCTCTCTCTATATATATATATACAACCCTCGAAATTAGGGTCGGCATTCGGCAATGACAACCATAATTGAGGTTGGCAAATTATTGCCAATCTCAATCTAATTCTGAGGGTTTTATATATATATATATATATATATATATATATATATATATATATATATATATATATATATATATATATATATATATATATATATATATATATATATATATATATATATATATATATATATATATATATATATATATATACAGTACTTGAAGTGGAAAAAAAAAAAGTAACAAGATGGTTTTCGGAAAATTAAAATAACCATCCCATTCCTAATCATTTTTATATAGAGAGATTTATAAAAAGGTGGCGGGATGGTTTATACTTTATAAAAAGGTGACAGGATGGCATCCCATCTCACTTTGAGCACTGTATATATATATATATATATATATATATATATATATATATATATATATATATATATATATATATATATATATATATATATATATATACTTATATATATATATATATAAGTAATAAAAAAAATTTTTGCTGTGATTTTGTACTACTTCATAATTGCTCTGTTATTTTAAGAACATTGAGCACTCCATTTATATATATATATATATATATATATATATATATATATATATATATATATATATATATATATATATATATATATATATATATATATATATATATATATATATATATATATATAAATATATATATATATATATATATATATAATGAGTTTGATTAATAAGGCTGCATATAAACTTTTTGTTTTGAAATATATTTTGATATTAATATATATTTACAATATTTTGCTGATCTATAGTGGTCAGCATTGTCAGGTGGAATTTCCACATGACAATGGTGGTGGAATTTCCACATGACGATGGTGGTGGAATTTCTACCTGACGATGCTGACCGCTATAGGTCTATTGTAATATTGTAAATATATATTAATATCAAAATATATTTAAAACAAAAAATATATATATATATACATATATATTTATATATATATATATATATATATATATATATATATATATATATATATATATATATATATATATATATATATATATATATATATATATATATATATATATATTAGGGTGGTCCATAAAACAACTTTTTTGAGAAAAACCTGCTGACACCCCCTAAATGTGTTTTATCTAATGCAAAAACACTAGGTTTAAAATTTTTTTGAACAAAAATTATTTTTAGGGGTAGCTCAAGGCCCTCAAAAATTTGACGGGTCCCTAATATTTTGAAAAAAAAACTTTTTCTAAAGTATGTCAACCTGGTACTCAAAAGAAGCGATATTGTATAAAAACTTCAAAAATAATAATCATTTTACATAAAAAACATGCCTAAAAAAAATTATTCTCAAAAAACCTGAAAATATTGACTTTTTTTATTTTCAGCTTAAAAACAATAGTTTTTATGCATTTATACCTAAAAAAATTATTTTTATAAAAAATTATTATCATTTTTAAATTTTTTATATAATTTTGCTTATTTTGAGTACCAGGTTGACATACTTTAGAAAAAGTTTTTTTTTCAAAATATTAGGGACCCGTCAAATTTTTGAGGGCCTTGAGCTACCCCTAAAAATAATTTTTGTTCAAAAAAATTTTAAACCTAGTGTTTTTGCATTAGATAAAACACATTTAGGGGGTGTCAGCAAGTTTTTCTCAAAAAAGTTGTTTTATGGACCACCCTAATATATATATATATATATATATATATATATATATATATATATCATAATGATGATTATAAATGCCTATATACACAAAATCAAACAAAAATTTTGAAAAAACAAAACGTACTTTAGGATGTAAAAATGTTTATACAGCACCAGTCACAAACCCAGCCCTGGCCCCAAATATATTTTATCAAACCAAGCCCTGGTCATTTACTCTCTCTCTATATATATATATACAACCCTCGAAATTAGGGTCGGCATTCGGCAATGACAACCATAATTGAGGTTGGCAAATTATTGCCAATCTCAATCTAATTCTGAGGGTTATATATATATATATATATATATATATATATATATATATATATATATATATATATATATATATATATATATATATATATATACAGTACTTGAAGTGGAAAAAAAAAAGTAACAAGATGGTTTTCGGAAAATTAAAATAACCATCCCATTCCTAATCATTTTTATATAGAGAGATTTATAAAAAGGTGGCGGGATGGTTTATACTTTATAAAAAGGTGACAGGATGGCATCCCATCTCACTTTGAGCACTGTATATATATATATATATATATATATATATATATATATATATATATATATATATATATATATATATATATATATATATATATATATATATATATACTTATATATATATATATATAAGTAATAAAAAAAATTTTTGCTGTGATTTTGTACTACTTCATAATTGCTCTGTTATTTTAAGAACATTGAGCACTCCATTTATATATATATATATATATATATATATATATATATATATATATATATATATATATATATATATATATATATATATATATATATATATATATATATAATGAGTTTGATTAATAAGGCTGCATATAAACTTTTTGTTTTGAAATATATTTTGATATTAATATATATTTACAATATTTTGCTGATCTATAGTGGTCAGCATTGTCAGGTGGAATTTCCACATGACAATGGTGGTGGAATTTCCACATGACGATGGTGGTGGAATTTCTACCTGACGATGCTGACCGCTATAGGTCTATTGTAATATTGTAAATATATATTAATATCAAAATATATTTAAAACAAAAAATATATATATATACATATATATTTATATATATATATATATATATATATATATATATATATATATATATATATATATATATATATATATATATATATATATATATATATATATATATATATATATATATATATATATATATATATATTAGGGTGGTCCATAAAACAACTTTTTTGAGAAAAACCTGCTGACACCCCCTAAATGTGTTTTATCTAATGCAAAAACACTAGGTTTAAAATTTTTTTGAACAAAAATTATTTTTAGGGGTAGCTCAAGGCCCTCAAAAATTTGACGGGTCCCTAATATTTTGAAAAAAAAAACTTTTTCTAAAGTATG